GGTTTTTTTTTGTTTTGTTTTGTTTTTTTAAATGAAATAAAGCAGATTATTATGCCTTAAATGCTCCCAGACTTAGCACCAGGGCGGTGACAGGGATGCTGTATGAGAGCTAGTAGTTCCAGTGCTCTATTTATCTTAGCACACCATTATTCCTTATGGAGATTACATAAATGAGTAACAGGAGCAAGCATATCATTAGTGCTATTTAAGCAACCAGGCAGGATTCCTGCCCTTTTGAAATCCTCCTCCTGTCATTATGTCTTGGACCAAACGACAAGACGGAGCCTGCACAGAACACTTGCCGAATGATTCATTCTGGAGAGCATGGTTGGGAACTTATCTTTTAATGCCTACCTTGAACTGATTGTATAATTTTTTGTTTTCTGAGGATTTTTGTCATTTGATTATATGATTGTTAAAAAGCAAATATGAAAATGTGCCAACAATTAAATTGCAAAAGTAACTTCATCCTCTTCATATCCTTCTGTTAGGTTTTAAGGTGTAATATTCTAGCAGCAGATTCGAGAAGATAAAAAATAGTAATTTGTCTTTCCATTCTTTTATATCAGTTTGTAGCTTTAATGAGGGCAAGGGCCATTTTAAACTCAGCACTGAACAAATAACTAAATGGTTCATTTTTCAGTTTAGAGAAACTGATAAAGAATTAAAGTTCCTGTAAGTTTCTAAATGAGAGCTTAAGGAAAAAAAAAAAAAGTTGCATAAACAAGAATTGTGTATGTCTGTTTTGCAAACTTGGCTTTCTGATAGGGCAGAGCATACATCAGGAAGCAGCTAATGAGAGGAATTTTCCTTCTTGTCGTCTTCTGCTAACGTTGTTTTCCCTTTTTAGCCTAGCCTCTCACAAATAACTAATCCAGTTTATGATCAAAAACCTCCAAACAACTCGACTTCTGGCAGATTAAATGAGGTGTCAGGAGTAAACAGAGGTTGTGTGGTCTGTATAAAACATAAAAGATCTCAAATGTATACATGCTAACTTACCAATATATTCCCAATTCTCTATACACATACAGATATCTAAACGCTTAAAATCATATAACCTTAAAGATCATTTAGTCCAACTGCCCTGCAATGATCAGAAATACCTACAGCTTGATCAGGTTGCTCAGAGCCCTGTCCAACCTGACCTTGGATGTCTTGAAGGATGGGGAATCATCTACCACCTCTCTGGACAACCTGTTCCAGTGTCTCCCAACCCTTTCTGTAAAAAAACTTCTTCCTTATGTCCAATCTAAATCTCCCTGCTTTTAGTTTGAAACCATTTCCCCTTATCCTATTCCAAAAGACACTGCTAAACAGTCTGTCCCCTTCTTTTGTATACCCCCCCTTAAGATGCTGCTATCCATGCCTTGATGTTATCAAGACTTGAATTCAGCTGTAAATTTTAGCTGTGTAGTTTTAAAAAGGGAACAAAATCAAACAAAACTAGACAATCCAAACTAAACTGGAAGTTTTGTAAAAATCCATTATTTTTTCCTGAGAATCAGTAAATAACATGGGTATGTTATTAAATCTGTGATACCTGAAGTATTTTTTTCTTTGAAAGTCCTGTCAGCAGATGGCAACATTTAGAAAGCATGAACATTTCCTTTATTCAAATGCTCCTCAAAACCCACTTGTTTAGAGGCTCTTTTACACACATGCGGTGTTAAATGAGGCATCTGGATAACATTACTGTGTGATTCTCTTCCTCTTTTTGATCACTTGTATCACCATACAAGTTTAGGCTTCGCTCCTCTTGCAGACTCAGTGGGACTGTGATACAATCTGGATCATCCGTTCTTGTAGAGTGACATGAAAAAGCAGTACAGTTTCTACATCATTTCTTTCTTCATCCTTCTAATAATCACTCATTTAATATTCCTTTCTAAAAGTGTGTATGTGTCTCAGTAGTATTATCTCTGACAAACATCTTAATAGAGTTGGTGACCTTAAGTTTCCACTTGGGCAGGGATCTTCAGGTAACTTTACTTTGTTCCACACCCAGTTAAAAGTACCTCTGACAAACCATCACTTACTCAGAGTGATGGTTCTTACTCACATTGGCAAGTTACATCAAGATCACCAGTTGTTGTGGAAGTGACTTTTACAAAAATCAGTTATTTTTCTTTCAGTTGTTTGTTGTTTCTATCAGTTTACTCATCTAGCTTTGGTTTTGCTTGAAGGAAACAGGTATTTTCCTTTATTCCTTTCAAAATTTAAAATTAAAAACTGCACTAAAAGACATTGTTGCCAATGTGTAGTAGACTGACAAGACTTGCAGTCCAAGGATGTGGCTAAATCTATGAAAGACTGCCACGACAAAGATTACTTCGTGTTCCCTGTCCCCAAAATGCAGCTGAGGAAGGAAACTGGGTCAGCATTTGATAAGGAGGGGATTTATTATTTACTATTCCTTTTTTTCCCACCAGTAGAAAGTTTTGTGATGTAATTGCGGTTTATGCCGTGCCTACAGAGTGATCCATGTTGGAGAAATCTTCTGATGAAGTTAAATAATCAAAACACTTTAAATAAATACCCATTTTACTGTAAAGCTGAGAAAATCAAGCTGGTGTGCTTTATCAATTCTACTCTTCCTAATATATATGGTACTGTCATATATCAGTGCATATATCAGTGTATCAGGTATGTATCAGTACTGTCAGTACTGATGTGTATCATATTGCTCCTATGACACCTCACCTACCACCTACCATATTGCCATTATAATTCAAGTAATTCAACCCTAGGGGTGATATTGCAAATACTTGTTGTTCAAGTTTTGGTTTTGCAAAACAAGTCCCTATTGATTCCAATTTTCAGTCGAGTATTTATAAGTAGTAGTGATATGCATCATCATCCACGTTCACTGTTAGGATTAGTAGATAAGAAAGAATAGGTTACTTTCAGAGATCTGATTCTTCATCATCATCAGGTCATTTGAAAAGGATCAAAAGTGTGGTTTTCCTATCTAATAGATGCTTGAAGAGAATAATTTATCATGAGTCAGGCTCTCCTTATTTGCAAAAACAGAAAACCTACATTGCAATCCCAAAATGCAATTTAACTAACTCCACCCCAGCAGTGTAAGATTTACTCCTGGAAGAGTCAGGGACAATGTTCTCATGCTATAAAATCACTGCCTTGCAAAGCAAGTGATGGTTTTTTTCCTCATGCTTTCACAAACCTACTTCTAATTCAGTCTGTCACAATAATGTGATTGGCTTCAAGCTTTCTTTTCAGACTACATCTTCTGTGCGTGTGACCATAGCAGTGAAGTGACAAAATGATATCTGCAAGGAGCGCTACGGCACTTGACTAGAAATCTCAGGTATCAGTGACTGCTTGTAACCAAGCTCAAGACTGAAAAAAAAAAACCGAAAAAAAAAACAAAAAAACCAACACAGAGATAACTGTGGAAATATACCAAGACCTATTGGGCTTACAAGTCAAAAGAAAGAGCCTTACACATACAATTTTGACCTGTCCAGCTGGCAGCTCAATCTGAAATACTGTTTTTGTATTTCATGGAGCTGAACTGCTAAGCTGTGTGCATGGCTAGCACATATCCATGTGCGTCTTGGGATCTACAAATGCAAAAAAGTAGCTGCCCTACAAGGCTTTCATGTGCAGTCTACTCGCATCTACTGGAGATTCAACTTATTTAATGAATATAACATAAAATAGTTCCATATAAAAGAACTAACAAAAGAACTACTTCACTGCAACAGCTGAGTTAGTGCTGCTGCTGAAACTGTATTGTCATTTTGATTTCTTTTTATTTTTAATGAGCTTACCTCCACGGTAAGGATAAGATCATCTTCCTGACTCAAAATTATTGTTGGGACACTCTAGCCAAACTTCTGCTTTCTTCCATTTTTCTGTCCTTTGCCTATCACAGTAAATACTGAATTTCTGTTCCAGTTAATTGTAATCCACTTTGCCTGTATTACTGTGACATCAATTTGTGCAACTCAAGTAAGGCATGAGGTTGACTTTGATTTTTTTCTTCTTTTCTCTGCTTGGAGCCTTATTCATAGGGAAAATACTGTTAGAATCCACAGCCTACTCTCTTTTCTTCCCCACAGATCATCTTGTAAGAATTCCCTCAGCCTTGGTACCACAATGCACAGGCAGGAAAACAAAAACGAGAGTTGGCAAATTGAGATGATTTATTACTGTTCAAAGTTATTTGTCATCTCTTAACACTACTCTTTTGTTTATCCTCTTTTGTATTTTGTTGTCCTCTTTTGAGAGTTAGTGAACAAAGATATTGCTTTTGTTGTTCATCTGGACAACCTTATTTGTTTGGAGACTCCTGACAGTAACATTAGACAAATTACTTCCAGTAAGGAAGAGTCTTAGTGTAGCCTTGGCACTTAAGTTTGGCTGATGCTAGGGAGGAAGGAACATAGTTAATAGTAGTGGAGCTTACCTTAACTTCTATTATCCATAGTCTAACAGGATGGAGAAAGCTTTCATTTGTCAGTTCGTAAAATATCATAATTAAGGATTTCGTACTCATAGATACAGTCATTCAGGAGAAAACTGAAGAACTCTGTTGTTGTCATCTGCTTTCTCATTCAGAAAGAACTAAAAAGTGCCTAACATGTTTGTCCTAAAAAAGGTGGTCTCATTCCTCACCAGGGTAGTACTAGCAAGGGGAGAAGCAACGAATGACTCTTCTGGATAATCTACATCAAAAGTTGTTGCTTTGGGAAACAAACTTTTTTTTCCCAAAGCAACTGCTATCTTAACAGCAATAGTATTTGCTAGCATTACTTATAGCTGATTTGCATCCTTCCTTTTTCTTGTTTTATCCCACACGTACAGGATACTAAATACAAATGGAAAAACTTCAATAGAACTAAAAAAAAAAAAAAAAAAAAAAGCAATCTGGCTTAATGACAGATTGCCTGATTCATGCTTTTGAATGTTTTGTGTCCTTAGAAGTAATAATTTTCACAATCTAATGAGATTGCCTGTGTTTGTTTCTGCAGGGACCCTAGACAAGCATGTAGAGCTAGAGAATCTTGTGGCCAAATTCCTAGGTGTGGAAGATGCTATGGTGTTTGGCATGGGATTTGCAACAAATTCAATGAATATTCCAGCACTTGTTGGAAAGGTGAGTACTTCCTGATGAAACACACAAAACTATTGTTTAATTGTTTTAACAACTGCTATAGTATTCTGGGCTTGTATTAAATGGAAAGGCTCAACTGAAGAAAAAAGCTTGGTATCAGAAAGGCAAAACAGCTTTCAGCATTTCTGATGAATGGATCTCTGGCCAGCCCTTGCAAAGAAAGCTGGTGGCAAATGCAAGTCTAAAGATGAGGCCATGTGACAAAAGTTTGGTTCTTGTTTGATTCTGAAGGAATCTTATCTCTAATTTGGAGTACCATTGGAGTACCACGATGCAAAGACATGGAAATGTATAATTCCACTCATCACAGCTCCTGACGCAAGTTGTTCATATACCATCATGTTGGCTGGGAAAATTGTTCTCTCCGATTCAGGCAAATGCGAAGCATTATTTCCCCTTTGATGGAGGTGGAATGAATTCACCACATGATGTATGTTCAAGATTTCTTCCAAAAACCTAGCTAGAGGTGAAGTCATTTCCTCACTATTGAGAAAGAATCCAGCTTTTATAAGCGATTTCTAATGTACTTGTACGTAGTGATTGGGCTGGAGAAAATGTTCAGCCACTGAGGATATCAACTTCAATCTACTGTGGTGCTGGAAAAGTAGTCCAGTAATGTCCAAAGAAACAGTTAAAAACTAATAGAGGTAAATTTATGAAATCGCAGACATGCACAGCAGCCTAAAATAATTTTCTCTCGCTTAGCTCTAAAATGTTTATCCCTTAGTTAGCTGGCCTCATGTGGAGATGCAGGCCTTTGTCAGAGGTGGGATATTTAGGTACAAGTGACGTGAAGTTATTACTGTATGGTGTAGAATATAATTAGTATATTCTAATATTACATGTTATTATATGTTATTATATGGTGTTATGTATTGCAGATATTGTGTAGTTGTCCTATATTTGCGAGATTTATTCCTAAATTTTCCTTATAGTTAAATCTGGTAGCTATATTGTCTTGTCAAGATACACATGTCTAACTCTTACTGTTATATCAGTCTTTAAGCAGAATTGTGTGGATACCTCCAATCCTAGGCACAATCCGTGATTCCTAAATAATATTTATTTAGCTAATATTGTGTTGTTCTTGTACTGGATAGTGAAGCGTCACAGCATAATATATACAATAGAACACAGAGCTAAATTAGGGCTCCAGCTTGAATTCAACTGATAATCTTGTCTCTCATTGATACAGCATACTAAATTATTTTTTCTGCATTTTTTTTTATTCTATAAAGAAGGTTTTCAACTGAGTTCATTGGTGAAACATACACTGCAGATAAATTGTATATGAATTTACCAGAGAAAGAGTAAGATTGTGTCTAGTGCCTTGGCTCTACTTAAATCTTAATGGCAGTCTCAATCCATCCTGATCTTATTTCAATTATCAAACTGCAGATTTTAGTCCAGTTTCAGTATCAGTTCCTCCTTATGTTAATCTCATGCACTTTCTGAGAATGTCTGAGAATCTGAATTTTGTTTCTGCCTGTCTTTCTAGTAGTTCTTTCAGAAATTTTAATTCACATTGTTTCAATGCTATATGCATGTATGTATTTATGTATATACAGACATAACTGTATGTTGAAACACTCACATACACACTTGCAAACAGCTTCCCACTTCATGCAAATGCTTTTTGTACTTCTTCTCCACAGGGTTGCCTCATTCTAAGTGATGAATTGAACCACACTTCTCTCGTTCTTGGTGCGAGGCTTTCAGGTGCTACTATTAGAATCTTCAAGCACAATAGTGAGTATTGAAGTTGGAAATGGTTTGAGATGTGAACATGTCTGTCTCTAAGGCAGGAGCACTTCCTTTTAGTGCATGCTTTTCTTTCAATTCCCAGATCAAGTTTTTATCCAGGCACAAGGATTAACAGTTCAACACTGAGTGATCTCAGATGGGGGAGAAATTGGCAGTGTGAGATTGCATTTGCTGTTGTGCAAGGTCTGGATTATCAGGTTGGACCTTCATTTTTCAAGGTGTTCAGAGAAAGGCAACAAAGCTGGTGAGGGTCTGTTGCACAAGTCTTTAAGGAGTGGCTGAGAGAGCTGGGATTGTTCAGACTGCAGAAGAGGAGGCTCAGGAATGACCTTATCGCTTCCCAAAAATGCCTGAGGGAAGATTGTAGTGAGGGGGGGTCAGCCTGTTCTGCCATGTAACTAGCAGTGCAAGTAGATGGAAGGACCTCAAGTTGTGCCAGGGAAGATGCTGGTTGGACATCAGGAGATATTTCTCCAAGAGAGTGGTCAGGCACTGGAATGGGCTGCCCAAGGGAGGTGGTGGAGTCACCAACCCTGGAGAGGTTCGAGAAACATTTAGATATTGTACTGAGAGACATGATTTAGTGGGAAATACTGGTGATAAGTGGATGGTTGAACTGAATGAACTTTCAAACCTTGGTGATTCTATGAAATCTGAAGTCTTAACTTCCTTGCTGTCTTTTTTGACATGCTGAATGACTGTGTGCTGCTGAAACGGTTTTGTTATTGTCACCGTAGCAAAACAGTACGAATATACTTAGAAAAATATGATCTACATTTCCTGCCTCTGTTTCTAGAAGAATCACATTAACATGGTGTACCTTTGAAACTGTGTCTCCAAATTCCAGGTGGGGAAATACCAAAATGCAGATGATTACTTTAAGGTAACCATCCCAAATAATCTTTGAGGTATGATTTTAGTATAGAAATCATACTAATGCCAAACATTAACTTTGCAATCATGTAATTATCTTCTAAAATGCTCATGGTTTTTAACTTTTATTTAGCTAATGATGCTGTGGTCACAGTCAGAGGCATTGTGATTGGCTTCGATGACAAGAGTTTGTTCTCTTCCTTTATTCTACTTTGCAAATTTCCTATTTATCACCACTGCAGCCACCAGGCAGTGATTGCAACAGAGATTAAGAAGTTAGAGAATGGTGAGGAATGCTAAAAGAGCTCTGACTACCTTTATTAATAACTAATACGGTCCCTTCTATTATTGTGTTGTGTTCAGCCCTGAGGTGAGCAAAAATGAATTATGCATATGCTGTAACAGGCCTAAGGATCTCTTGAAATGAAAGACACAATATAATTATAATATAAGATGGTGTTGCAATTAATATCTATTCATAATTTGGACAAGCAATATTTTTTGAAGATCATGTAAGAGTTAATGTTCACGTGAACCAGAATGTTTTTACAGAAGTAATTATTCATAGATTAGATAGTAAGATGCCCCAACTTGATCCCCTTCCATGTAGATACTCTAGGCATGGCTGCAGTACTAGCCTACTCCCAACTAGAATCCCCTGCACTTTGTGAAAGAGAACCAGAATATCCTTCAGATCATCTTGTGCACATTTTTAAGCATATCATACAATCATACGATCCATTTCAGGTACAGCTGTCACCTGCCATCATCAGAAAAGGGGAAATTTTGTTTAATAGCTTTTAAAATCATGTACAGAAATACATTTACGTGCCTTTTGCTTTGGGGAAAAGAGTTTGTGTATTGGGGAATGATTGCAGTGGAAATGATAATGCGGCTGTCTTTGTAGGATGCTCAGTTTCACCTGAAATGCAGTATACAGCATTGCTCTCTCTGGATTCATCCAAGAGTAGTATAATACAAGTGTATTAAGGGGAATTGAATTAAGGGGACACATAACCTAAACTTCCAGCTTGTGTTGGGGGTTTCTTTTCAGTTAGGTAGGTGCTCATTTGTTTTGCTAGATCAGTTGTGTTTCTTATCATCCCAGATGATTCATCTCACCTCTGTCTATATAAAGGTGTCCAAAATGTCAGTCAGTGTTAGTATTGTCACTGCCATGCTTACAAACAAGAGAATTAAGCCATTACCGTATTACTTGATGTGAAAGAAAGGTTCCTTTGCACCTTAAGTTAACACTTGAAGAACACTAGGAAATGTTAATTTCAGCATTAGGTAGTCAAATGTTTTGCCTTTTCAAGATCATTCTCTGCATTGTCATAGAAAAATTCGATATCCTCCACCTTCCCCCTTTCCATGGAGTGGGGATTTATGTGTGTTGTTTCACATAGAAAAGTCAATGATCCTTTAAAGAGTTTGGCTCTTGGCATCAACTGGACAATGTTAGTGTGCCAAAGGCTTTGCTAAGGCTCTTTGTTGAGAGGCTGGAACAATTATCCTGCAAAGTGCAGAAGAGTAAATCTGAATCCTATTCCGAAAAGGATTAGTGCTTAATGTGCTTTTCATTCTCATTCCTAAATGCACAGCCAAGTTCGTCCACTGCCGTGAGTTGGCTCATCTCCTTTAAAGCTGTGTCAAGTCACACTAATACTGTCAGACCTAGGATTGCCCTACACTAAAGAAAACAAAGGATTCCAGGCAGTAGCACCACTGTTGTGATACATACCTTCTATGTAGGAGGGTCGAAGTATATATTCAAATCAGGCAGCAGGTTATGAAATCATCTTTTTGCTACTAGATTCCATCTTGGGGAAGCAGACTCTTTACACATTCCTTGTTGCTTACATCAGCCTCTTTTAAAACTGCCTAGAACATACATGGTTTGGCTTTGACTTCCTTAGTTATGTACGTATAGAAAAGGCACTGGAAGAAGAGTGAGGTGTGAATGTTTCGTGCAGTTACTGTAAATGATTATCAAAATGAGGATGAATAATTATGTAGCAATTTAGCAAAGCAATGGCATATTTTCTGAAGCAGCTACTTGAATATAGTACAAATGAAAGGTGTGTGCCAGTAACTTCCCTTTCTGTGGTGTTTTCTCGATACTGTAAATCTCTCCACTCCATTTTCCAACCTGTTAAAGAAAAATTATTTTCAAAAACATAATAGGAAACTGTGTTCTATGAAAAAAAAAATAAAATCACAATCTAAATATTTTACAGAAAAGACTAAAAACTGCTATTTATAGCTGTTACTGATGCACATCCATCTTCCAAAAGTTATTATATAGCTATATCCATAAGAGTGAAAATCATTTTTTTTCAGAGTGTATAATCTGTAATACTGGATCTCTTTGTCATTATGCAAAAGTAAATAATTACACTTATTAGTTAGCAAAGAAGAAATCTCTACATATTACATTAATTATGTATAATCTTATTCTTACAAAAGTTAATTAGACTCTATTTCAGTCAGTGGGTGGCTTTCCTAAAGCACTGCAATTTTCAGCCAAAAAATTCTGAGTAGTTTTTCAAGAGCTGATAGAATTGTTAAACATCCATGCTTCTCCTAAGTCTTAAAAAAAACCTCCTTTTTTGACAAAACCATTGCACTGTGAAAGTGTGTGAGAAGGCTTTCAAACTTTAAAATGTATAACAGAGCAAAAAATGAGATGTGGATCATTTTTGTTTGGATGTAGGAACGTGCCCTGCATCCTTACTGTGGATGATCAATCCCTTCCTTGTAAACAGGCAGGGATTTACAGGCTTGGGTTGAGATAATAGACTTACGTGCCATCTAGGTGAGAGAAATTTAGGAGAATACTTGGTTCCTGTTACGAAAAACACCTGGCCTACCTTCCCTTCCTGTGGCTCTCACTAGCAATGTTGCTAGTCTTTGTCCTGCCAGGGTCGCAGGAATATGCTCTGTGAAGAGTGGGGTTAGGGTTTATGGTTATTACTGTTTATTATTACTGTTATTACTACTTATTAAAAGGATCAGAATTAAGAGCCTTGTGTTACTTGCTCATACAGCTCATCCTGATTTGCACCAGGCTCTTTCACTGGAGGTGTGGTGAAACAAAACCTTCCAAGAGCGAGCATAGCTGTAGTCATTGCTGTTGCTGAGGCACATGTGAGCATACCCAGCCTAGTCAAACCTTAACAACGGGGAACAGCGGGGTAGCACAACCCTGAGGAAGAGCACAGCAGTGAGGTGAGGCCAGTTGGTGAATCACAGCTCTTCTGTTTTCTGAAGATAGTCACTGTAATGGCTGAAACCTACCATCCACTCTCCCATTCATGACATTCACACAGCAAGAAGGGAAGCTTTGGTCATTTAAAATTTCTCCCCTACATCACCCAGCCTTTTTCCAGCCTCACTCAATGCCACTTAGGTTGTGTTGCCAGTGAAAATGAGTTGAGTACAATGGTGATCTTTCAGTTACCTGCCAAATCACTAAGATGCTCATTGCTTAAAAATAAATACTCATTTATGCATTTTCTTTATCTTTTTGTTTATTCTCAGTATATTGTTCTGCAGGACCCTTCTGGCAGCAGAAATAATTCTCTTTTAGGATAGTATTTCTTAACCTAATAGAAGGTACTTTAAGTCTGAGTAGATATAAGTTGGAATTGATGACGTTAACAGTTTGCATTATGGGGTCCTTTCCAGGCGTAGAATGACCAAGAATAATTTTGTCTGGCCTGATATCAAAACCCTAAATATGAGCGTAGACCTGGGCACTCTTCAATTTACACAGTAGTATTTTTAATGGGCTGAAGTTGTTCCCGCTTGCCCATAAAGCATCTGCCTTCCATCTCCCCTGCCGTGGTGTGGGCACCATGTTGGCATTTCCTGGGCAGCGATCTGTCTAAGAAGCTAGAAAAGAGAGGCACTTACACCCCTGAAATGCAGTGGTTCCAGCAGCACGGCCTAACAGCCAGTGTGCAGAGGGAGAAGGGCAGGAGATGAAGACATCTTCCTGCCTCTGTGGCAGTAGCAGCCACCTTTGTTCTTTTTCTGTTTCTAAGATGATTTTTTAGTAATGTAATATACTGTAAAGCCCTTTTTCAGAACCTCCTGCCTTTTTCTTG